ATGTATATGTATATATGTATATGTATATATATATATGTATATGTATATATGTATATGTATATATATGTATATATATATATGTATATGTATATGTATATATATATATGTATATGTATATGTATATGTATATATGTATATATATATATATATATGAGTCGGGTTCATACAAAAATGGTATCTAGTGGTGTACCCGCGCTGGGGAAAGAGAGAAATTCTAAACTCCCTTCGGTCATCAATGTCGGGTTGAATCACAATTATGAAACATTAGTGGTGTACCCGCGCGATGCAGCGCCGACTAATTCCAAGACGACCACCTGCTTTGCAGATAGCTCGGAATCACCATATTTGAACTTACGTGACCACAAAGAGATTTTTATTCCTTCTTGGATTTGAATTTACAACCTTCTTCTGGTACTTTTGACTTTAGAGTCAAACTCAAACAAAACTTAAAACACAAATACAACTACAAGCTATCAACTTATTTTAAAATATTATTCATATATAATTACACATTTAGATAATATTCCAAACTATAAAATAATAAATAAATAAAAGAGCAAGCCTTCAACATTCAAAACCAAACTATGCTTTCTCTTTTATTATTAAATTTTGAATAAAAGAGACAACTTTTCCCACACCCCAAAATTCCCTTCTTTTCTTTACTTTCCCTTTTCACCCAAAAACACCTACTATTTCTTCTTATTCTTTTACTACCCTTCAAACACCAAAACAAAAACCTTGGATCCCATTACCCCCTTCTTCTATACCTTTTCAACTTCCTATTCTATCTACCCTTTTCACCATCACCAAACTTGGACTCAATATGTCCATTCTTGAGGACGCACCACTTTTGCGCTTTCGCCGCCGCTCCTCCGCCCTACCATCCGCCCTCCCATTGCACTTCCTGGAATGGAACACTTTAACATGTCAATGCTATTGCTATATACAATACAGGTGGGCTAATAAAGTAATTAATTGAACTTCAACTACAATTAGCAACTACCGTTGTCAGACTGGGTATAATCATGGCCATGGGTGTTCAGATGGTTCAGTGGAAGCACGGGGTCCATGCTTTTGTTCAATGACTGAGCTACTCTGGCTGACAGATGAGCAGGCGAACATGCTGTTTAAATATTAATAAATCAAGATAATCATCATTAAGAGCAATAAAGTAAAATTAAAGGTATGGATTAAAGCAGTCTAAAGGCAAAGTTGGATTATATGAAATGATCATGGATTTTAAATTAAGCGCAAAAGGACAGAAACAGGGCCAAATGAACATCATCGGCGTCTAGATTCGAATTTTGAAAAAGAAAATTTTGTTTCACTCGATATTTTTTTAAAGAATAAAAAAACAAAAATAGACTTAGCAATGTGGGAAATCGCAGCAAGATAGGAACTGGTACCTGGTTTTTTCTTCGATTCAGGTGGATCGTTAGAGTATCTCCGGGGTAAAAAGTAAAACACGCCGGTACCGGCACACTCCCTTTTTAAAACGGTGGTCTCACGGCCACAACCGCCACCAGATCCGTCGAGAACAGGTTTGGCGATGAACCCATTGGAGGGTTGTTGACGACGATGGTTTTCAACTGGGAGGGGAGGCCATGCAGATTGATGAAAACCCATCGGCTGCCCACCTCCACATCGACCGCCACCGCCGTAGTTTGCGGCTCCTGTAAGTATGTAGCGAAAATGTTGTTGCTTGATAAACTCTTGGCTTCCACTCCTCCATATGGTACAGTTAGAGTGATGGTGAGAGAAAGGATGTCCAACGGCAAGAGGACGTGGGGATACGAGTAGACCTCTGTTAGCAAATACGTCGTCGTTGACGTTGTTCATCCTCATCTTCATCCTAGCGACTTGGCCAGCCGCAGTGTAAATTAGATCCCAGGGGTCCTCCTCGGCGTGAACAAACGGCGTTGTCGGAGATGAACGAACATGAGTAGGCCTAGAAACAGCCCAGCTTAAAGTCGCTTCTGGTGGTGGATGTAAAAAACGATTTGTGAAGAACGGATATGTCTGGTGGCGACGACTGGATGCTAGATGGTTCTCCTGTTTGTTTCATGATCCAGACTTGGGTTTCTCTGTTAAGAAGAAAGGGTTTCATGATGAAGAAAGATGGGAGCTGAAAATAGGGTCTGGGGAGTTTTTTCTGGAAGAAAGAAAGTCTGAAGCATTCTTATTTGGTGATGATGGTGGAGGGGTTAAAGTCAATGCATCAACAAGTTGTACATTATGCTTTATAACTTGTCTTTAAGAGTTTTTTGCAATTTATGCATAAAATGGCAGTACTTTGTGCCTTGCTGTTTGTAATTAAGATAAATGTCTAAATGGTTATATATGTAGTATAGATATATATATATATAAGCTAATATTTACCCAAAAGCAAGATCGAAATCTTCAAGATCCCCGGTAAATCTTCAAGTCAAATAACGGAATCTTTCTTTTTGTCCGTCTTCTTTCCTGAGAGAGGTTGCCACTTAAAAGGTAAGCCAACGCTTAGTGAGTTAAATAGTTAAATATTACATATCGATATCACACAAGTTTATAAACATATATAATAAACTTTTATCAATAAAAGAGTTCAAGCCATCATCCAGATGCAAACCGAGACTTGCAAGAAACCGAGTGAACAATTACGTATTGGATGCCAAGATCATATGATTCCATATTCAAATCACCATAGTATACCATACCATTGATGCTCAATACAACAAGGAGACAACATCAACAACCAAATGTATTCAACAACGTTAGAATACCAATAATTATCAAGAACCAAGAGATCAAATCGGTATACATAATGAAGACAGTGCATCACCCCGTCCTTCACCTCCCGGGCACATGCCAAAGTCTGAGTCAGAATCATACATTATGGGAAACCTCGCACTGCCCACCTCCCTCTACTGGGTATGTGCCAAGGTTCCCTACTCATTGCACTTCCTCCTCTCTGAGCAATGAGTATTCACAACCGCAGAAAGTCTCACCCGTCCAACACGGGATCTTGACTTTGCCATAAACTTTCGGCGTGCCACACGAAGTAGTACCCGTACTATGGCGTACAACACAGGGAACAAAACAAACAAGTCTGGATCCAGAAAGCAAACCGATGTACCAAGATAGTAATGAGGAATCGACTCAAGAGACGGAATCAAAGACAAATAAAGATCGTGTGACTCCATTCAAGACCGAAACATTCATATGAAAATATATATATGTTCAAATCAATATGTAATAATTAACTAAATAACTCACCGGGCAACCATGTAATACCGAAAAGCTCCGAATTGAGCTCACAAAGCAAGTMCAATCCACCACACTTAGATTGCTTCCAAAATATCAAAACATGTCCTAATTACCCCCTGGAGTATAACAGCCTAGATTTTGTTATTGATTAATCTTGGTATAATTATTTACATGACAATTGGAAGCTTTATCTACTTGTACCCTTGCTTAAAGTAGTTGTATTTTGGACTAATAATATAAGTCCAAATTTTATGTAAAGGGTCAATTATGTTAGAAAATAAATTGGTCTTAGGACTAGAAATGTTAAGAAAAATTCATATAAAATCTAATATTGAATTAGACAATTGATGAGGGGTAACATTTGCTAAGTGGGTATTCTTTTACTAAGTATTTAAACCCTTAATTTTCTGAAAATACATCTCATTTTAACTTTTCACTTCTCTCTCTAAAACCTACACCCTCTCAACTCTCTTCACATAAACCCTAGCTTTTGGTTCTACCTCCTCATGCATCTTCCAATTTGGTGTTAGTTTGAARATTTAAAGCTAATTGATTGAAGGCAATGTAAAGAAGCAAGGTATGAAACTATAAATTTCAAAATTTGTGGTCTAATTTGTTGAATTGTGATAAAATTGGGAGGTTTCATGTTAGGGTTCATAAGGTTTTAATTAGTAAGTTAAACCTTTGTTAAATGATGTTATTTTTATGTCATTGTTGGTTAAAGAAGTTATAAATTAAGTTTTAATCATTTATTTGCAATATGGTAAGCTAGATAGTTGATTCTTGATGGTATTAGTGTAAATCTTATGCAAAAGGGACTGTTTTGAGCTGTGTATAGAATCTTAGTACTGCTGGTTGTTTAAAAAATTCATATAAAATCACTCGTTGATCCGTTTGAGGTGTGCCATATGTTGTTGGAAAGGTATCTGTGTTTTCTACAACTTTGTAGTTTATGTCCAGACTTGGTTTTACCTCCATAATGGTCAAAACAGTGAGTTTATGTAGTTGGTCCTGTGCAGAAACGGGATTTGCATACTGTTTTTAGAAAATTCATATAAAAGAGGTTTTTGCTCCAAACGGAATGAATCCAAATCGATTGGAACCCTAAGTATTCGGCCTACAACTTTTGTTTAGACATTAACACCTGAATGCTTCTCTAAGTATGAGAAAAATGATCAAAGTCAAGTTGGTTCAAAGCTGTTTGGTGCAGGGGATTTAATAGCTTTACTTTTGCTTGTACTTTGTGCTTTGAGGATTGTAATATCCGTAGATCTTGTATCAATCAGTCACAAACATGTGTGATTTATTCAGGACCAATCTTAGAATAAGAAAGGGGCATTAACAAAGGGATAGAAGCTACGTGTTTATTTCTTCGATTGTCGTCTAAGGTACGGATACCCGATTCTTGTGACTTTCTTTAGTCACTAATTCATTATAGAGGCAATATTGTATCTCATTACCATCTCGGCATCTATCACTTGTATATAAATATAGTTTCATATTTTGTGAGATTATCCCTTTTCACATTGAATTGATATGTTTTTTTTTTGTGATTTGAGCACTTGTGCTTTAAGGCATGACATCGAGGGCAACGATGTCGTGACGCCTCCATGGCGGCTATAAATTGTCATGGCATCCTCGCTATTATACCCCAATGTCAATAAGTGGGTTTGGCCTGGTACCGGCAAATTTGAGGGCGAATGGATCGATCCTAAGAACCGTTATCGGGAGCCGTATTCGGGAACCATTTTCGGGAGCCGATTATCGGAAAGGAATTGTGTGTATTGCCCTACACTCATTTTCCATTRTTCGAGTGGTCTGTACAACCCTCGAACCCAATTGATTTTCTCATTTAATTTTCAATTCTTGACTTGACGATATTATTTTAAATTACTTCAGTATGGACATTTGTCAATTATTAATTGATCCCTTCATRTTCTGGTTTTCGGATTCCTTATAATTATTATATTTTATTAACTCGATTTATACTTGCAATCTTGCTACTTCAATTATCCGTTCACTGAG